AGTGGATCTGCCAGCTAAAGATCACAGATTAGTGCACAGTGTATCAAGAGTTTGATAAAGTTTGTACTCTGGAGGTTTCTTTATAAGTGAGATGTGATACGCCCCAATTTATTCAGTGCAGAAAATCTTATAAATTTTCAGTTTAGAGTAAAGTAAATGTATGTATGTATATATATATATGTCTTGCATTTGTGCTGATAAATAAATAAAGGGAGACTAGTATAGATCTATTTCAAGCTATTTAGCTCTCATCAGCTAGCCATACCATTACTGGGAATCGAAATATGCATACACACACACACACACACACACACACACACACACACACACACACACACACACACTGATATGGCAGTTATCAGTTAATGTGGTTTCATGAGTAGCTTCTCTGTGAAATTAAATAAGTTGTTTAAAATTTAAAACCACCAGCTCTTTGCTGGGGAATAGTTCACCAAAAGGAACATAATTTCATATTTAAATACACTATAACATACATGTATTTATTTGTATATCGAAATATATTTTTCTTCTATATGACTATGTAACCTTCTATGTCAACCATCTATATTATTTTTCCTATATAAATTACATGCACATATTAATAACATATAGTATATTACATGCAGTTCTGTGACTAACAATTAATAGCCTGGCTTTAAGACAGAATTCGTTTCTGTGCCTCTACACATATATACACATAAACACATACAATGCTGTCTTATTGTTTTGATGTAGAGTTCTAGTACTCATAGAGACATAACAAAAAATGGTGAATCTTGAAATAGACTTGTACAGGATATATTGGGATTTTTATTGCTATAAGATCATTTATTCGCTTTTAGTACATCTTTTTTCTTGCTTGCTTGCTTTTTTTATTGCTTTGTTGAAAGACTGTTCTGGATAGCAAAAGTTATTTAAAAGACAATAATAAAGCCAGAATATAAAGGGACTTGCTCTTATATCATGTTCAGAATATCTCTGAATCTGTCAAGCCGCTCTGTGTTGTCTGCAGTATTTTCAATTTTATTAGAGCAAGTGAAGGAAATTGTTCTTGTCATTTGACCTGAACAGTTGTTGAAGTCTTAAAAATAAAACTCCCAAAGGTTAAAAAAAAAGTGATTCTTAGTATATCAAAACAGATCACAGAACTGTGATCTTTCAGAACTCTACAATAGACTTCAATGCACAATAGTACATTCACTGTTTAAAAAAACTATTTCAAGTTGTTTACAAGTATTATGGAATATATTAAAGACTATCCTTTTCAATTTTATAATGATGATAGAATCATAGAATGTAAGGCCTGAAAGGACCTTGGGATCGTATAGTCCAATATACTGAATATCTAAAATTCTATTTAACCTTCTATCTGAACTGTAATGCTGAACAAGTGAAAATATCTTTGTGCAACAGGACCTTTGCTTCCTGTGTTCCTCTGATATACTCATTGCTCATCTTAGATCTGCTCTAGAAAGACACAACATTTCCTTGGATTTTGCTGAGAAAATCTATTATACCACTATTGCCATTTATAGAAAGCATATGGTACAAATTACCACACATTATACTCCTGTTTCTTATTATAATATTCCTCATTCTGCTATTAATAATATTAAATCCATATTTTGTTATTCTTTTACATTTGCCTGTTTTGCTTAAATATGATTTTCAAAAGATTTATCTTTATATAATTTATGTCTATGTGTCTGTGTGTATGTGTATGTGTATATGTGTTATTTATATATTATATAAATAATAAAAATGAAATACCAAGGATTGTTCATATATCTCTGCAATTTTGACAATTATGCTTTTTATTTTATTTTCAGCCGTTTAGAGCAGAATTCCATAAAAGCCATTCCCGCTGGAGCCTTCTCTCAATACAAGAAACTTAAAAGAATGTAAGTAAGTTAAACGTCTTGGTATGCTTAATATTTTCAGTATATTTTACCATTCTTTGAGGCAGCCATGTAGGCAAAGTTCTAATTTTGCCACCAGGTGTCCAGAGTTTCATATTTATACAAAATTGTGTGTGTAATTCTTGAATGTGATACCTTGGACATATTCCTGTAGTTTTTACTTTCTGGAGGAAAGCTGATTTCCTAGGTAATTAAAAATGGGCTGATTTCTCTTCCTGATCTCCCCTTAATGCCTGCATTTATTCAAATTTGTCCCAATTTTCTTCTATCTCGTGAAGCAAGCTTGGGGAAGTAGTGTGTGTTGACAGTGTCACTTGTATTTTCAAAAGTTCACTCTTTGAGAGATGCTTAGTAGGAAACAGTAGAACAAACGTGACAAAAAGTGAAGGAAAATTGCTCATGCAAAAATTAAACCCACTTAATGTATTTGTATTTAAGCTTATAAATTACCCCAGCAGGGTTTAAGATAGAGATGCCTTCTTAGTGCTATGGAGGCAGTGTATCTAATACTCCATGACAAATAAACCACTAGAATCAACTTCTCTATCCTTTCTTTACCATCCACAAATTGTTTTAAGTAGTATTTATTTATTTATTTAAAGTCACTTAAGTAAGTTTCTTGTTCTTGGAAAGAAAAATCATCTTAAGTGCAGTTTGCTTGCAATAGTAGTATTCTTCTTTAGTTTGATATGAAATAAGTTCAATTAAAAAACATACTAATCTTTTTAATATTGATGTCAATGTGGGTGTTGAAAACACTTAACAAGTTCAGTATAATTGCTCTAAATTTACATTACATTGGTAGTAAAAAGGGAGTTTCATAAAAAGAGCAAAGCATGAAAGTGCTGTTACAGGTCTACTGAAATTTGATTTGGGAACTAAAATATATAGCCCATGGTCATGAAAAATATTCAAGAAATTGTAGAGATATCCTTTATTTTTTTAAATGAAGAAACCACAGTCACTTCTTTGAAAATGAGTTACTTCAATGAATATGGTGGCAGAATACATGGGACAACATGTTAATCCATACATTTTATACAGGACATCCACTTAAACAACATTGAAAAACTGTCTCATAAAAGAGTACAACTGCCATTATTTATGGAGCTGGTAATAGGCATTCCTTCCTGTCACTGTTTTTCCTAAAGGAATGCAGCCCATCTGAGAACAAACTCAGTTCTTATCTCCTGAATTTCCAACTTCCATCTTGTTTAGATTTATTTTCTCTCATATAAATCATTACTGTAGCTAAACAATGGTTTAGAACATGCATATCATGTCAAGCTGAGCGTCACCAGTGTATTGCTGCCTAAGCATTTACACCTTTGCCAGTGGCTTCATGTGAACAATACTGGGAATAAAGCAGCAGTTGTTCCAAAAATTAAGAGAGAATTGCATTAGAATTCCCTAATTCTCAGGTCACTGCGACACTCAAAGGAAGTTGGTGAAGATAAAAGCTACTCACAATTTGAGCAGAATCTTGATTCAAGTGCCTCTGCCTCTCTGCTGCAGGTCACCTATTATGGTAATTATAGCTGATTTCCATAACACAAGCCAGTTGTGGGGAAAAATAGAAATAATTAGTGCATTTCAAAAATAGGTATAGTTGTATAGATTTATTATATTATGCATCTTGTCACAAAAAGGCACATTTAAAGCTGAGCAGTAATTGGCATAATCTTCTGAATCCAGTGAGGGATTGTCCAAGAATGAACATACACTGTCTCCATTACATTATGCAAAAAAATTATTCACCATTTCCACGGCTATGTGTCTCAAAAGATCCAAGATTTCAAGAGAGAACGTGGTAAGCTAGATAGACCCAAGGGTCTTGCTCTCATACTCAGCCCTCAGGAATGGAAGATACAAAAAAAATCTGGACCAGTCTGGGCACTGGACATATCATTAAATGTTCTGTTGGTATATGTAAGCAAATTTATTTTTATAGTATCTTGCAACTCTGTTACCACAGATTTGCTAAGACTGTGAATGAAAGCAACATGGAGTTTGTACTGTCCTTTTCTCCAAACTTCCAAAGTGTGAAATTTTTACTTGGAGAATCCCAATTCTTTACAGATGACTTTGCTTATTATAAGTTCAATATATATTGTTGTGCACATCCAGCATCAAAGAAATTCTGCTATCCTTGAGAATCAGTTTGAGATGCTCAGTGTTCTTATTAAGTTCACACTGAGTAATTAAACCGTGGAAGGCAGCCAGTGCTGTTTCTTTCTTTTTTTTCTTTGCCTTCAGCACAGTAACACTTTCTTGTAAGACTTTTCCTTATAAAGCAGAGATAAAGTTCAATAATTTAAATCCCAAAGGAGAAGCTCAGACTGATCAGAGATGCTGGGGCTTCTGTCCACAGTATAATACAAGTGGAGACCGCAACAATAATATTAGGTTAGAAAGGGACGAAAAATGTGAGACTGAAATTCAGATTGGAATAGCCATAGGTGTTATAAGTGCTAATACATAGCTATACAGCTTGACTTCAGATGTTTTGATACAGTAAAATATATTGCTTATGCATAAAATGGCAATACAGAACCACACAAAAAAGTTGGCTAAATTGTATGGCTTTTTGTAAGGTGGTGCCTAGTGAAGCAAAAAAAAAAAAGTATTTTTGAGGGAAATGCGTTTCACCTCGGTAAGAATTGTTGCCTCATTGAAGGGAGCCCAGACTACCTTCTGCAATTCATTATCCTTTCAGTCAACAACATAATCAACAATCAGACACAACAATTTAAGTAGAGCTAAAGTGGGTGCCAGAGGTTTTTTTTTTAAAAAAAAGCATAAATAGTTTTCAGAAACATAGGCATTTTTTAAAAAAAATCTGTGTCTTGTCTTCTCCTATATCTTCTTGCAGTGATATCAGCAAAAATCAGATATCAGATATTGCACCAGATGCTTTTCATGGATTGAAATTACTCACCTCTCTGTAAGTACAGAATAACCTTCAAGGGGAGATTTTTTAAAACTCTTAAAAATAAGTGGATTAAATATTGGTCTGTTATGCTTTCATTTTCCTTGTGTAGTTTTCTCCTTGTAGGAAGATCTAACCTTTGTTTAATTGAAATTGATCTGAGCTGAAGGTGCCATTGTTTGTGCAAATCTAGATTCCTTTTATAGATGAACACAGTATGAAGGTTAATTATTAGGCCACTGTAACATCAGGCACAGTCTGTATTTTTATTTCCCTGAATATTGAAGATCATTTTATTAGGGACAACCAAACATACAGAAACCTACTGCACGTTACTGAATGGAACTTAAATCCTCATTTTTTTTGGCGGGGGGGGGGGAATAAACTGAGATATAATTTGCTAATTATATGATTAATTCATCAAAAACACTCTATGTATTATTGCTTTCTCAAAAAGGTGATTGGGCTGCAGTATGCCCTAACAATAAATAATTTCTGATGGAACCACAATCAGAAAATATTGGATCTTAAAACAATATTTTAGCTACACTAAATAGCATTATAATTAGGCTAGTTTTAAAAGGTCATAAGCAAATATCAGAGAAGATTCAAGTTATTTATTTGTTGTTTGTTTGTTTGTTATGTTGAATTCACTTTTCAGTTTTAAAAAAATAAAGCAAAAGCAGGGAAAACATAAACAGTTAAGTTATGATAAGCAGCTAGACAACTCTCACCCTATTGGTCATCTCTTCAGAGATATTTCCTTACCAGATGCCCCAATATCTTCAGCCATCACAGAATTTCTAATGTACTGCCTTCACTGGAAAAGTTAGGGTATCTTCAGATAGGTAGCTGTCTTGAAATAGCCATGTTGAGCAATCAAAAATAAGCACACAAATATTTTATGACATGTTGCATTCTGCCATAAACTATGATAATTTTATGATAAAAATTGTTTTATAACATTTGCTCAATTTCAATTCCACGAGAGTCATGGGACCCAGATTTTGGCCACATTTTGACTATTATTACTATTTGAAATAGTTTGGTTTAAAAAATTACTCTCCTGTGATGCAGTGTTTTGTTCAGTGAAAGGTTATGACAATGACAGTTTTAGTGTATTGATTAAAAAATAAATAATTCAAATTATTTGTCTTAAACTAATAAAATACTTAAATCATAAAAAGTTTAAAAACTAAGATGTGCTTGATTTGATAGTATCAAATTAATTCAGCTTTAAAACAGAACCAGTTTGAATAGGTAAGCAGGAAATTCTTTAGCTGGTGCCAATCTTATTTAAAAGGAAAGCACTCTTTGAGATATTGAGATTTAAGCCTTGTACACTGAATCTGACTCTATCACAAATTGGCAGCTGCTTCAGAATAGACTGTAAGTTGTTTGCAAAAGGTTACCTGCTTCAGAAAAAGCTGCAGCGTGTTGCCCTAGCCACAACTCCTTGGTAGAAAACCCACATGCAGTGAATTGCAGAAATCCAAACTTGATGTAGACAGTCAATTGTCTGAAATGATATAGGTTTCCTTCTTGAGCAGGGGGCTGGACTAAAAGACCTCCAAGTTCCTTCCAGCTCAATTCTGATTCTGATTCAATGCATGGATTATTATAACTAAGTCATCCTTTCCAGAATGGCCATAGATCACGAACAAACTGAACCTAGAAAAGATATTTATTGAGCTTGAATTAGTAGTAAGCATAATTTCAAAATCAGTTTTGAATTATTTAAGAAACTTTAAGTCCATTATTATTTTAAGATTATCCAACAAGATCTTATTCAATTTCTATCTTCTATGGAACTCTTCTCTTTGCAAGGAGTCAAAAAAAATTCTTCTTTGTTTTTTAGTTTATTTATATTCTTTTTATGTGTCTTTTGAAAACAAATGGAAAATTTCCTCTCTCTGCTGTAGAATCCTAGCTATTTTATTTTGCTCATTTTTTAAGAATTTCTTTAAAATTATTGTTTTATGTTATACATCCTTATGTTTTGTGTTATACTATTATACACTATTGAAAGATAGTGTGTAATATGATGATGTAAAGTAATACAATTTTCTTTTTTACAACATAGTGTAATTGTTCTATTATCAGTAGTTGGACAAGTAACAAAAGGAAGTTTAGAAGATAGCTTCTAAACATTAAACTACTGCTATGTATTCAAGTGAAAGCAAAAAAAAATAGATTATATGATTTAGTCTATGGTTATTTGGGAAAAAACATTTAATTTAAATGCCACAAAACTTTTCTTGTAAATAAATACAATATTATAATATGGCAACAATCCTAGAACTCAGTACATTGGCACTCCAATCCTAAATATTTATGCCAATGCATCTGTCTATGAAAAGCCAACATAAGGACCTTGATGTTGTAAAATCCTATTATGTATGCTAGAGATTACCACATTTGCATTTGAATGTTTTCCCTTTCATTTGCATTTTCATAGTTCCTCTCTAATGAATAGAGCATTTCCATTTTTTACATTTTGAATCTTAAGGCATAATTTTACAATTTAGCAGTGAGGCTTCCTTGTATGCCGAAGTAAATAAAAGCACCTGGTAGCATATCTGAATTGCATCCAATAAGTCATGTTATGATGCTTTGGCTCGAGATTAAGCTCTTCTGGAAGAGTGTAATCATTTTTAGTTAATGTGTCAAAAAATAAATTATGTGATAAACTTATTCCTAAACTCAACCCTCAGATTGCATGTGCATATGTGAATTAATTCCAGGCTAGGGTCTAGTACTGTTAACTTTTTAAAAAGCTTTCTTTTTCATGAAATAAGCTTCTGTTTTTCCTTCTTAATTTTAAGAAGTGGGAGTGGAGGAATAAATATTCTATTTAATATTTTAATAGTGTTTATGAGCTTCTATGTTATTGCAGAATAGTAACAGAGGCTGGATTTATTTATTTTTCTTTACACATGGAAGCCCACCGTTTCTAATATGAAAAAGTGCTATGTGAGCGTTGCCTAATGATATTATATTCTGAGATTTCATTTGGAATTGAAAGCTAGAGAGACTGCAGATTAAGTAAGAAAGCAATCTTTTAAATTATGTTTCAGTCGTGGTAAAACTCAAAAGCTTTTTGTTAAACTTCTCAGGGACTCAACTGATAATAGAAAGAATAGAATAAAATGTTAGTGAGCTTAGCTTTCAAAATTAAATTTGTGTCTCACTCAGTATTTTTTTTTCTTTACATGCACTTGTGTGTGCATGTCTTATTAAAATCTTTGGAGTTTTTCCTGAAATAGCAATAGCACTTAGACTTGTGTACCACTTCAGAGTGCTTTCCAGCCCTCTCTAAGCAGTTTACAGAGTCAGCCAATTGCCCCCAACAATCTGGGTCCTCATTTTACCCACCTCGGAAGGATGGAAGGCTGAATCAACCTTGAGCCTGGTGAGATTTGATCTGCCAAACTGCTGGAAGCTGGTGATCAGCAGAAATAGTCTGCAGTACTGCACTCTAACCACTGCACCACCATGGCTCATTGTAGTTTGAAAAAATGTCATTTAAAATTTTATTTTATCTCAAACATACTTGATATTTAATACAGTACCTTGAAATTGTCACAATTACATAACCAAATTTCTTTTTCTGCACAAGACATATTTGCTTTTCAAATCTCAGTTAATTTTACTATAATAGCATATAACAACAATACTTATTGGTAGCCCTGCCAGAATAGAATAGACTGGAGAACAGTTACCTTTACAGCAGATTGCTAGTTTCCAGACCATTATTCTAATTATCCATATGCCTCAACCATCCAAGAAAATTGGTACTTTCTGTAGTATAATTGATACTCTTATAGGAAGCTCAGATAGATGCAACTAAGGCATTAAGTCCCAAGAGATTTATATTGAAAAAAAATCTAACTGGGTATTTCTTTGTGCCTTGATGATTAAATTTGTTTTGCATAATCTTGTGATCACTGAAGACAGATCTTGAAGCCTATCAACTTCAATTCCTAAAGTAATACAATTCCTAAAGATGTAAATGGTCAAAACACTGAATACTAGTAGAAATTTCACTGGACAAACCCATTTTATCTCAGCATTTCAGGTCAAGTTTCCACTCTGCCTTATTTTAGCCTGTTCGTGTAAAGACAAAACATTGATTCACCCTAAAAAAGAACAGTTCTCTTTTGGCCAATTTTTAAAACCTAGACTAGGTTGGCCCAAATGATTAGTATTTGATGTTTCTTTCCCATTTACATTATCACTGAATGAATGAGGGAATATTAGATGCTGTTGAATAACTGTAATGATATCCTATTGCGGTAATCATTGTTACCTTGAATGACTAGGCTGAATTTTGTTTCATGTTTTCTATCCTATAAATATAATGTTTGTTATTGGACTTTAAAAATATCCAACATTCCCTATAGGCTTTTGCTTAGCTTCAGAATGTGCAGCCCTTTCAAGCTTTTACTACTGTCCTCTGCATTTCCTTGGATAACATTTATGGGTCTTTAAAAGCCTGAATAGATGGTTTGAGGATATGCTAATCCAACTTTTAAATAAGGTATTTGTAAATGCCTCCAAATAAGAAAATTAAGTTATCTGGAAAAACTGATGAATTTTAGGTTCTATTAACTGGTATGATGCATAAATATGTCAACATATACAGTATATGGAACAGCAGGCAAACACTAATCATTGTTCTGTGATTCGGATGCATTAAATGTTCTGGGGAGTACATAGCTTTGCCAGCCAATTAGTTGTGCACTGGTAAATATGTGCAATGCAAAAGAAGACAAGCAATCCTTTCTTGGCTAGGAAATGTTATTTCAACAAGACACATCCTGGGTTCTTAATGTCAAAAGAAAGTATCTCAAAAGTGTTTATACTTTACTTGAATTTTTAATCCTAATATTTGTTTTGGCAAAAGTAGAACTATTCTAAAATAGCACAATTTTAAACCCAACTGAAGTTATTGGGATTATGTCTGAATAAACAGACCACGGATTGGCACTCCATGAAACAGAAACATAATTCTGCTGCTTATTTTGAAATGGTACAATTATGAAAAGATGTTCCTTTCAGTGCTGATTCAAAATAGGGGAAGGTGGTATGTGTGCATTCCTTTGGGTTTCAGATTTTAAGGGTGTGCCTTTTTTAATAACCCCAAACAGTAAGTGATACTCTAGCTTTGCAAGCATTCCTTCAGTTTTATATTATATTATATATTATGAACTGACACAACTTTATCTTGAGAGCAATCAACCGATTGAACAGCTTGCCTTCAGAAGTTGTGGGAACTTTATCAGTGGAAGATTTCAAGAAGAGACAGGAGTGCCATCTGTCAGAAATTGTGTAGGGTCCGTTTGGTCAGGGAGTTGGACTAGATAACCACAAGGTTCCTTCCAACTCTATTAATCTGTATCTGTACCTAATTTCCTCTGATGGACAGTTGAAGACAAGTAAGATGGGATACATCAATGAGATTTGCAGCAGTCCCACGTAATCTAGTTGATAAACCAAATGGTGATCCTGAGCAAACACAATCCCATTAGCCTGTAATAATGAATGCATTATTTTCAATTCACTGGAAATTTCATGACAATTCTGTAACAAATTTTGACCTTTTTGAATTGTATCACATTCAAACTTTTAAATACAGTATATCATGACTCTGTAAATCACTTAGAAAGGGCTGTAAAACACTGTAAAGTGGTATATAAGTCTAAGTGCTATTGCTATTGCTATCATGCAATACTTTAAAATAAGCATAAAAACCTCAGTAAATTATGAATAATATTTTCAACCCAGAAGGCTTGAATAGTGTCTTATTTATTTGAAAGTCTTATTTTAATATTGTTTACATTGTTAAAGTATACTACGTTTAGGTGGCGAGGTGAGCTTGTGTCTAAAGAGTCAATTCTTCAAAAGCATTAAATTTGAGAATGCTGTTTATTTTGTCCTTTCTTTTTTTTTTCAGAGTACTTTATGGAAATAAGATCACAGAGATTCCCAAAGGCCTTTTGGATGGGCTTGTATCTTTGCAGTTATTGTGAGTATTATCCAAGTTTATTTTATTTCAAAACAGAGTATATAAATGCTAAAAAAATGACCTTGCACACTGAAACTCCACTAATATGTTTATTGTTAGTTGAGAAGACTGGTGTGTGAAGCCATCAAACTATGAAATGTCATATTTACTGATCTGATGTTAACCTTGGAGTGAATCTATGCTTGCTCTGGAGTAGGATTGGAAGGTGGCTGTATATTATTACTGGAGAACCTTCTTTCCATCTCACCTCGTTTAGCTTATGCTAAGAATTTCTATTCTAACTTTTAGTTTCTTTTAGTACTACTCTTTTTTTGAATAATTATTGTAAAGTAGTGTAATTGGACTTGTTCACATTGTTAAGATACATTTGAACAGCTCAATGGTATGAACTTAAGTTTTAATTTGTACTTAAGATTTCGCAAGTTTGTACTTGTTTGCTAGATCTTTTCATAAGAGAACCCAACATTGGACAGTTTTAAAAGTTGTACTGGTTAATTTAGTATTTAATAGGGTTTAATTGGATTATTTTTCCTTAAGTTTTTAAAAATTTATAAGCCATTATAGGATTTTCAAATGAACAGTGTATTCAGAATGATATATGAAATGTTTCTGATATTATACACTGCATGTGTAACTAATTCCATACTTTTGGTTAGCATAACTAGTAATATTTCAGGAATTTCTCTGATAAATCTGTTAAATCCCAAAGTGTTATGTATCTATGAAATATTAATAGTATTTCTGAATTGATTAGACAATTCTGTAACATGTAGGATTCACAAAGTAATACATAAATTATGATTGTATCCTTAATATGGAATCACAGGGAAATGATACCTGTCCCTTTTCTAACTTTTCTACTTAGAATACCTCATATTGATGATCCTCTCACAAAGCATATGACTTGTACAGAAAACCATAACAATAAATACTTAAAAATATTATCAATTATTTTTTAAAAAATTAATCTTTAAGAACAAAACTAAAATAAAGAAATAATAGACAAGGGAACATTAACAGTAATAGAGTCACATCACTAGTCGATATGGAATAACCAGATCTGGAGGGACCTTTGAAATTAGAAGTGATGAGGCCAACCTCACCATGGAAGGAAGAAGATTGCGAAATATGGTGCCACACAGTGGTGGGTTCCGGATCCCATTGCAACCAGTATGGTGCAATGGGGCCAAGCATCCACTACATGCATGTGTGCAGCACATGCATGCGTACTTACTGCCTGCAACACCCACAATGCTCCAGCTTCTTGGCAGAGTGTTGCGCAGGCGTCGTATGCTCTGTGCACGTGTACGGAAGCTCTGATCAGCACAAATACATGAAAGGAGGATGGGCCGCAGGTGGGCCGTCCAGAGCACTGTACCAGAACAGTACCTGGTGCTCCCAGAAGGCACCGTTACGCCAGGACCTGGGCATACCGGTCATATCCCACCACTGGTGCCACAGCAGAAAAGGTCCTTGTCTAGGTCCTACCTTGCCTTCTAACAAAAGATGTTCTACTGGAAAAAAAGAAAAGAAAAAGAAAGAAAGAAACTCCTCCATTTAACTATAATAAATACAAGTTAAATCCCCAATATATTTTGTCTATGAATAACAAAATAATTTTATGCAGCTGTTATAACCCATATATATCTGCTCCAAATTCATTTTTCACCAAAGAGCATGAATAAGTTTATTTCCCCTAGTAGAGAAAACATGCTGAATCTTTTACATAAAAAGTAACCTACCAATTTGTCATAGTTGTCCAAGATAACATTTTTGTTGTCATGTGATTTTGAATCTATTTGTCTTGCTTCAAAATGAACATTATGAGATACATAGTTAATGTAACAGACATATTGAAGTACATTATGTTCTTATTCCCTGTTGGATTCATTGGCAGTTTACAATGATAGGCAGAAGAAGAAAAAGTGAGCACTGCTCACTTGACTGACTGACACACAAACATAATATGAATAGGAGTATAATTTATATTAAAACTGTGACCCCAGATTTTATATTAATTGATGATCTATGTCTGAAAATCAATATTTAATGGTAAATGTATCTTGAATTGGGAAGCCTTGTAAATATGTCAGACATGAGCATCTTGAAAATATTTAGTTTTATTTATCAAAAATGGACAACATTGAAATATAGGACTAGCCCTATCAATACAATGAAAATAGCTTGGCTTGCAATAATTTGGAGTTTTGTAAAATTTTATAAAATTTTACCAGTTTGCTAATTTTAGTGGTTTTGTATATCATTAAGGGGAGAAAATATGAATTTTTCATCTGTGATCTCAAAATGAAATATTTGCTCTAAGATGCTATTTATTGCTGCACACATCCAGCAAAATGTTTTAAATCATCTGTTTTAGATGTTTTTCTAATGGAAAAATAGGTAACCCATTAATCAGGTTATGTAGTCTAGATTCTTGTTTGATTTGAAAACTTCCAGAATGAGGTTCTGTAAAACCAATTTCCATATTAAGTCTATCATAGTGGAGCAACTGACAGTTAATGGCCACTCTTGACAATCATGAAACAAAATCAATTTGTTATCACACCATTGCATGCAGCTGGTTAATATTTGGATTTTCTTTCCTCTACTCGGAAAGAGGATGTCAGTCTGATAGTTCAAGATTTTACCACTCCCTTGTAATCAGACCATTTTTAAAAGACTTATGCTTGTAGCAACTATTCCTCAATGCTGATGCAATGGATCTCCAGAGGTTAATTAATTCCATTTGCTTGCAAAAGGCTCTGGAGCATACCTTATTAATATGATAAGAACTTCTCTGGGAAAAAATTGAAGGACAAATTTGAAAAAGAATGAATATAAATAAAGAATGCAATAAAATCAACAGACTAAAAACAAATTTAGGTATAACTCAGAAAGTATCTATCTGAAAGAAAGACTTTTTTTCTGATTTACTAATTAAAATTTCACACTCTCTTCCCCTCCTCTTGATTCACAGATATAAAACTCTCCATCCCATAACTCAACTCTTATCTATAGGCAAATCAAATCTTCTCTAATCCAGGTGTCACCAAATGTCCAAACAGATATCTAAGATACTAACATTATTTAACATATATAAAAGCATTCTACATCTGAACTCTTAGCTGTGAGCTAAGAGCTAAGTCGATTTAGAAAGCATAAAATGGTCCCGATATCCTAGTGTGGACAAAAATACTTTAACAAGTATTGTTAAAGGGACAATTTCTCCTTTAAAAAAGAGCAAATTGACAAATATCCTTTAGAAAGACAATTAGATCGTTTAGAAAGTCAATTAGATACAAAGCTACTTTACATGCTGTCAGATTAAAATATATAAAGTAATTATAGGACCAAAAGCTTTAACACCATATTAACTGTAAGCAAACCCAAGATACAACATGTTCCCATTATAGATGTCAGAAAATTCAAAGAGAACCACCCCAAATAACATGTCCAATTCAAATAAACATGTCATATCTCAACGCTTAACTGTAAGCAAATTCACATTTAGTCGGAATAAAGTAATTTCAATATCCTAATATAAAACAAAAGTCTGGAATTTAAATGATGAAGAGAACAAACTCATAAAAAAATCCTTGCTTTGAGTAAAAGGGCAGTTTACATACTGTCACACTTACATAAAGAAATTGTGCAGAAAAAGACTTAAACACCATGTTAACCATAAGCAAATCCAATACGCAGCATTTTTCCAGTCCAAATATCAGCCAATCCAAAAAGAACCACCCAAAATAGTAATATGTTCCACTGTACTCCTGATCAACTAAACCAATTTTGTGTTCCTTCTTTTTATGTAAAGAATATTATTTGCTTTAATCCATTCAGATGATTGTTGATCTTTATTTCAAATGTCTTTAGTCCTTTAAACAACCTCTTTTATAAAGCTAGCACATATACACACACACACACAATCCAACTGCTGGCTGGCATTGTCATTTTTTATTTACTTCTTAATTTTAAAACATCCAATTTTTAAAAAATATCAGATGAAAAATTATTGTTGAAACTCTCATTCATATTGATCTCTGTTAGGTTTTGTTGCAAATCTTTTTCCATAACATTCTCTTCTGTGAACAGACTGTTCCCATGAAGACACAACATAGCTGCCATTATTGATTCAAAATCTTGGTGCAGTCCTTGGAAATATTTCTGACTGCCATTATAAATTACTTGGCTTGTGTCTGCAATATTAAAAACAGTTTTTGTTTCCCATAAAAGTACATTTATTCTTTAAAATTAATGTCAAAATCTCACTATTCAAAATCCAATATTCCAATCTTTTTGGAACCCTTAATATGTTTAAAACTTTCTGTAGCCAAAACCTTATCTTACTTTTTAATGTTTTTTTTTAAAAAAAATCTTAAATCTTTTAAAGATGCAGTTTCATTTTCTCATATTATGGATTAAAGACACTCACCTGGTATTTTCAGTCTTGTCATTTCAAAAGTTGTCTAACTTCCTTAAACCAGTTAAGATGCAAGTTTCAAAAGTGATAGCAAAGGAAGTACAAATTTAGTGTCCTTTGAAAAAGCTCTGTTTTTCAGTTGGAGGAAAGGTGGCAATTCCCTTTTCCCCTCACTCTCCCTCCCTTCATAGTCCACTACTTTGCAGTTTTCTTGTGAGAAACAATTTTATGG